CGTCTAGCATAGGCTTCCCTGTTTCCTGGGGGTTCCCCAGTTCCTCGGGGGGCCTCCTACCCAGCCCTGTGAAGACGGCAAACCTTTGCAAATCAGGTTTCTTGAGAGCCGTTTCTTGGCCAAACTTGGGTGGTCAGAGGGTCAACTGGTCCCTGGACTTGCCCAGTTCTTCCAGCCTGCTTCTGTCCCCCATATCAAGCTAGGGGGCTTCCATCTGGACCTGCCTCTCCCTCTCCATGAATCTGGAAGGGGAAACCCTTTTCACTCCTTGGAGAGAAGGCACAGGGCAGGTTGTGCATCTTGTTTCCCCGTCCTACAGGACAGCTCTACCCCACCCATCTTTTTCTTGGCAGCTCAACCCCAGAGGTTCATTTTGGTGCTAAAAATAGTCTGAGATTCCTGCTGGAAACACAACCTCAGTAACGAAGGCTGCCATCCCACAAAGGAGCCCTCAGCCTGGTCCCTGCAGATGCTCTGCTAACCCTTGGAGGGAGGCTGGGTCGAGGACATCCCTGCATTCAACAGATGGGGACACTGAGGCTCGGGGAGCCTGGTATGAAGCGAGGACGGATGACCGTCTTGGTGAGTGGTGACGCCAGCCCTGTGGATTGTCTGGTCCCTGCCCAGGACCGTTTTCTGCTTGGCTCACTTTGCAGAGAGAAAGCTGCAGCCCAGAGGGCCAGCAGCACCCATCTGATGGGGGAAGAGGGTGCTGATGTGGTCATGATCCCCACATGTTCTGAGCTAACGGACGTGCAGAAGGAAGGGGCTGGCTGAAGGCCAACCTGTCTGTGGAGTGGGGAGACCTACCAGGCTGGCCTCACACACTGTGGGGATGCAGGGACATGTGAGAACATGTCTGTAAAGCCTGTACATGCAGGTCCTGCCATGGAGCAGGTGTTCAACAAATGGCAGCTAGTAAGAGGTAGAGGTTTGGAGAGACAGAGATGGAGAGACAGGAGAGAGAATGGCTGATGGATGGGGAGGCAGAGAAGTACTGGCGGCAAGGGACTATCACTCAGCAGGGATCCCAGAACCACTCGGCTGTGAATAACGCAAGTTACTGCCTTCACAGAGCCCTGAATTTGCAGCCCCCCAAGGCCATAGCCTGGCTGTGTTGGCTCTCGGCCTGAAGCTGTGGCTGTAGACTTAGGCGCCCCCTAGGGGCCGGTCCATCTCTTCTCACTCATCTCATCTACCAGTGCTTGGGAGAAAGTGGCGCCGGTACAGACACCATGGCCCACAGGGGACTCAGATTCCAGGGCGCTTGTCCTCCTAGGATGTTGTGGGTGGCTCAGGTCGGCACCTTCCCTCCTGGGAAGGGGATGGAGCTCCGAACGTGGGTGTGAACTCAGCCTCTCCTGCCTGTCCCTCTCACCACGGGTTCCCTTCCCATCCCACATCACCAAAGCCCGGTCTCTATCTGCTCCCTGCCAGCTGCTAATGAGCTCAGTATCCTCTCAAAGCCCATCTGGCACCCACTTAGATGGAAGAGGTGATGAAGTATGAAAGAACAAGAAAGGAGCAACAAAGGAGGATGAGACCCAGAAATATCCCCTGAGAGGCAAGGCGCCACAGGGAACCCATGGTGCAGGCTTTGCATCTCCACGGCAGCCCTCAGGCTGATGCGGCAGGGGTTTTAACACGTTCTCACCAGCTTGAACCACCAGCGGTACGTGCATGAGTGTCCAGGGGCAGTCATGTATGTACCATGGTGGTTCAGAGCCACCTATCAGTGAGACATATGAATTGTGGCCCCATCATGAAGAAGTTAAGGCTGCTGTCATTAATGGTGAGAGGGGAGGGTGGGTGAGAGCTTTCCTTGAGTATTTCCTCCATGCCGGCATCCTGGCTACAACAATGTCACCCTCAGGGAGGGCGGGTATTCTTAGCCCACATCACAGGTGAGGTACCTGAGTGTTGGTGAAGAGTTTTGCCCCAGTCACCCGCTTGTTGGGTGGAAGAGGCAAGATTTGAACCCAGATCAGTGTGTGTCCACAGCACATGCTCCAGCCTAAATGTCTGTAGAAGTGAGGGCACCTTATGAGGGCTGTTGGCTTTTTCTCATCCTGGCATATGTGTGCATGATGTACATGGAATACCATGGGGCACAGCCCACGGCCAGGGTGCTTTCAAGCTGAAAAGAGGCTGCTCTTCATGTGTCGGTGTGGCTATAAACTTCAGTGGATTCCACAAATGCTGTTGGAACACAGTTCAGACTCCTGAGCTCAGTATCAAGGCCCCTTGTGGTCTGGCTCCTGCCCTCTATGTGTGCTGTCCCTTCTCCCCAGACTATCCTTCTGGTGCTCCTTCATCCATAGAACTTTTGCTCCTTTTGCAAGACCTTTCAAGTCAAAGATACTTCCTGGGGAAGCTGTCTTTGATCCCCCAGGCAAGGGTAGATCCTCCCTGCCTCAGCTCCCACCTTCCAAGTCTTCCCACACCAGAGTCCACAACCTTCTGAAATTTTAAGCCAAAGTCCGAAAGCTGAAGTGCAAAGGCTCTTTTCTGGGTATATGTATGTAGTTGTCATCATTCTCAAGAGACACAGAATGGGGGCATGGTTAGTAATATGGCTTTGAAGTTGGGTGGTCCTAGATTCACAGCCCAGCTGCCATTTACCAGCTGTGTGATTTTGAACAAGTTACTTAATCTTTCTGATACTCATTTCACAACTCTAAGATAGATACGAGTCTCCCTTGCAGAATTGTAATGAGAAGAATATCAGAGTATGTATGTGTAGAGAAAAAACAGTCTGGCCTATGTTAAATGCTCAATAAACATTACTAATTTGGGTCTGTATCATGTGTACACACATACACACACATGTGTCTACTACAGGATTTATCATTACCTATGTAGTATAGTTAATGTTTAAACTGCTTTCTCCCTTCATTGACTCTCAATTCTCAGAAAGTGGAAATTCTGAATTATTTATTCCTGCATTCCTAGCACATGCATAGTAGACAATCAGTGGGTTTTTAAGTGAATGGAAGAGTAGGTGGATACCTGGATTAGTAGGGAGTTGCATGGATGGATGGACTGTATACTTCAGAGGGATGGATGGACATAGATGGATGGATGACTTATTAAGTAGACAAATAAGAGATCTGATGGATGAAAACAGATACAAGGATGGAAGGATGGATGGATGAAAGACAAGTGGGTGGATGGGTGGATGGATGGATGGTTTGACTCCTCAGGAGCATGGATTTTTGCCTGTTTTGTTCACTATTCCAAATGCCTATGAGGTGACTGGTGCTCAGTAATTAGTTCCTGAATAAATAGGATTCGAGACCCTAAACCACAGTTAAAATCCCAGGGTATTATCTGAATGAGGAGGAGCTGTCAGAATTCACATCATCCACTGTCAACATTTGAATCTCATTGCCTTGGCTAAGATTGTCGTGGTGCCCCCTCCTGGTAGCAATATGAAACAACATGGTCCCAATGGAGTTTCTCTGTTTTCTAATTTACATTCTATTTTCCTCCTGATCCTGAGCATTTACTCACGAAGCAGTGGTTATTAACCCTCTGTGCTTATCACTGTTATCTGAGGGCACTCTGTGATGCCTGTAGGTTTCTGCTTCAACCAGAGATACTGGTTAGAGAAGGCAGAGATCTTCCTTCATGTTTACCAAGTGCTCAGGGGCTTCTGAATCAGAGCTTCTTTAGACTATCATCCCAGAAATCCTGACAGAGGGAGAGCCACTTCCAGAAACTGGGACACAGTGGAGATAGTATACTGCTTCATGTCTCTAATTCCCAAGTGATGTTCAGACTATGTGGAAGAAAGGCAGAATCAAAAAGGCAGTGGTCAAGAGCAGTGCTTTGGGATTCGGGCCATTCTGGCTTCACATCCCAGCTTGACCATTGACCAGTTCTGTAACATCATTGTTCTCCTCTGTAAAATACGGAAGTAGTTACCTCCCATAGGAATGAAGAGAAGAATAAGGGAGGCAATACTTGGAGAGGGCATAAAACAAAGCTGGGCATGCAGTAAGCACTCAATAAATACTGAATGAATGACTGCATTGCTAAATAATCCTGCATCCTTTCATTTCTCTTTTCTTCCTTGGATGGAAGAGAGAGCCCATGGACTTGATTTCTGCCAGTAGAATGTGAGCCCTGTGAGAAAAGGAATATTGTCTCTGGCTCCGTGCTTCATCTCCAGTACCTAGGACAGTTACTAGGACAGTACCTGGTACATACTAGTTCTCATGAAATGTTTTTGGTTTTTTTTGGGGGGGGGGGCGGGTTATGAATGCATTTGGGCAGATTGAGAATCCACCAAGCCTGAAGGTAACTCCACATGGACCTAGGAACTGCTTTTTGGACTTAAGGAGATCAGTGTTTACTTAACAAATATGTAGGAAATGCAGAGCAATGTACATCTGGCTCTCCATATCTGCAGGTTCTGCATTTCCAGATTCAACCAACAATAGATCAAAAATACTCAGAAAATGTTGTATCTGTACTGAACATATGCACTTTTTCTTCTCAATAAAACCATACAGCACAGCAGCTATTTACACAACATGATTGTATTTGATACTATAGACAATCTAGAGGTGATTTAAAGTATATGGGAGGACACCATTAAGTTCTATGAAAATACCATACCAGTTTATAGAAGGGATGTAAGCATCTGTGGGTTTAGGTAGCCACGGAGGGTCCTGGAACAAATTGCCATGGGTACCAGCTTTAAACCACCACCCCATAAGGACTTGCTCTTGGCCGAGATGGAGTTTGTACCAAAACTGGGGCCCTGGAGGATTCAAGCTCCCCCAACCCATTCCTGTCTGCTTTAAAGGGAAGGCAGTGCTCTGAAGGCTCAGGCTGGGGCTCTCAGCTCTGCTGCTGAGCTGCTTTGTGCTGTTGGCAATCTCCTCCCCTTTCTGAGGCGCTGACTCCTCCCTTGAGGATGCTCAAGACGCCTTTAAAAAGACCAGTGCCTCAGGGAGGGGCTCAGTGAGGGCCTTATCTGTGGTATTTTGCAGGTGGCAGCCCTGTGCCCTGATGCTTGACTGGATGGAGATCATCAGCTTCTGTTCCCGGAAGGTGGACACTCGGAGCTTTGCCCCCAGCTGTGGGCAAGGCCAGAGTCAAGGCCCTCAGTGAACATTCTGCTCCGACAGGCCTTCGGAGCCGAGCTGAGGAAGGGAAAAGAGCGACTTGTGGCGGCTGCTAACCCCTGGACCCCTTTCCAATGACTATTTTTGGAGTTCTTTGGGACCTGTCTGAGGTGAAGAACAAGATGTAGGAAAATGGAACTACCTGCCATGTGTCCCCTTTCTTGGCCCCAGGAAACTCACCTAGACTTTGGGAGGCCACTGAGCCCTGTCCTCATTTCTCTTGGCCTCAGCCAAGCGCTGGACCTGCCCTTGCCCTCTGGCCTCTGCGCTGCCCTGTGCAGAGGGAGTGAGTCTGGGGACCCCCAAGGGTTCCATCTTTAAGGGAAGCTTGGGGAACCAGGCCTCCCCCCGCCCCTCCCCACCCTGCCAGCCCAGCCAGTCCGGAATGATCCCGCTATGGCCAAGCTCTGGTTCAAATTCCAGCGGTACTTCCGCAGGAAACCCGTGCGCTTCTTTACCTTCCTGGCTCTCTACCTGACGGCCGGGAGCCTCGTGTTCCTGCACTCTGGCTTCGTGGGTCAGCCCGCGGTCTCCCAGAACCAGGCCAACCCTGCCGCGGGAGGTCCGGCCGAGGGCGCTGAGCTGCCCTTCCTGGGAGACTTGCACCTGGCCAGAGGCTTCCGCGACGCGGGTGAAGCCTCAAGTATTGCCCGCAGGTACGGACCCTCGTTCAAGGGCAAGGACTCCAGCGAGAGAGCCAAGCTGGGCGACTACGGTGGGGCCTGGAGCCGTGCCCTCAAGGGGAGGGTCGTCCGGGAGAAGGAGGAGGAGCGAGGTAAGGGCGGGAGGACCGCCAAGAGGGGCTGAAGGGACCAAGGAGGAACAGCGATGGTATCGTAACAGCTGCCAGTTTTCAGCATTTTTGTGTGATCAAAATATATGGTGAATATTTAAATTAAAATTTTTTTCTATCACAGTAAAAGACACGTTGCCATGAACCCCCCCCCCCAAATATGCCCCCTGGCTCTGAACACAAGCATCCCATCATTCTTGCCGCTTTCTGAAGCAGTTCTGGAAGTCCTCTTTCGTGAGTGTCTTCACACGGTGTGATAAAAAATAAATGCAGTGAATGTTGGTATGAGCACCGCTGAACAGAAAGGCAGGCTTGTAGAAATATTATGGTGTGTCCTCATCCACCTTACTCACCAGATCTGGCACCTTCACACAACTTCAGGCTCTTCCCCATGGTCAGAATGACCGGGAAAAGTAAACATTTTGAATCTGTCCAGGACATTGAGGCAGCCAGGACTGCACAAGTAAAGCCACTCACAAAAGAGGACTCCCAAACTGCTTCAGAAAGGGACAAGAATGGAGAGATAAGTGTGTTCAAAGCAAGAGGGAATATTTTGAGGAGAACTAATAGCAGTGTGTCTTTTACTGTAATGGGTATTGAAAATTTAAACATGTGCCATTTTTGGAGCCAGCTGTCATAGAGTTACAGCTACACATATGTAGCAGATTTCATTTGCAGCCCCAGCCACTGGGGAGAAAACTTGAAGCTCAAAGAAATTAAGTAGCTTGCACAAGGTCACATAGCACATCAGTAGGCAAGTTTGGATTTGAACTCCACATCTGTTAGGGTTCAAAGCTTGCCTCCTACCCCTGAAGCCCTTTTCACTCCATATTAAATACACATGAAAATACAAACAGCCAGCATTCGCTGGGCCCTTCAGGCACAGATAATGTTGTAAGCATTTTGTGTGTATTGAATTGTTAACTAACCCTATGCATTACTGTAACCATTCCCATTTTTAAAGATGAGGAAATGGGGTCACCATAATTACATGGTTAGTATGTGGCAGGGCTTGGAGTCTGCCAGACTGACTCGTGGTGCACCACACTGGTCCCTTGCTGATGGTTCTTGGGGGACATCATTGCCCTGGGTGTATTTCACTACATTTTCTCAGCCTTTCATGGTCAAAAAGGGCTTTCCATTGATTATCACTAAATTTCATGGCCTTGAACAAAGCATTTACCATCATGTGCCCAGTGAGCAGATGTAGATATTGAAGCTTGAACAGTGGAGATGCTGGGTCCAGGCCCCATGCTGGACAGAGGCAGTGCTGGAGTTGAAATCAGAACCGTCTGGCCGGAATGCTTGGCTCTCTATGACAGCATCCTTGAATCTGCTGCATCTGCCTATGCTGGGGAGGAATCCACAATCTCTGCCATCCGTGAGATTCACATGGATGAACACTTTGGGGACACAGGCAGATGGGATGGGAGAGTCTGATCAAGGCGGAGGGAAATCCTTCCAGTTTTTGTGTTCTACTCTAATTCAATTCACAAAAAAAATCCCTTCCCCATTGAGGCATTAATGGAAGGAACTTGTCCACAGGAGCATGTTTCCCAGTCCTACCCTGGGCTCAGGAACCATCCAGAAAACCCTACCCCTCTCCTCTTGGGAATTTCTCCTCTGTGCTCCCTGTCATGGTCTTTACATGAACAGTAATTGCCTGTGCTTGGCTAGATTCCCTACAGAATGTAAAGTTGATACACACAAAATAATAACATCTCCCATTTGTTGCAAGAATTAAATACAGTCAGGGTTCTATATCTGTTTTATACCCTCAAATTCAACCAACCATAGATAGAAAACATTTGGGAGAAAAGTTGTGCTGAACATTGTACAAATTTTTCTTGTCATTATTCCTAAACGATATAGTATGACAACAATTTCCGTAGCATTGCCATGGTATTAGGTCCCATAAGTAATCTAGAAATGATGTAAATATACACAGGGATGTGTGTCTGTTATATGCAAATGTTACACCATTGTACATAAGGATCATGAGCATCAATGGATTTTGGTTTCCTTAGGGGTCCTGGAACCCAGAGGCTGTTTTGCAGCTATTACTGCTAATGACAATAATTGCCATTTTTTGAGCCCCTACTTCATGGCAGTCACTATTCCTATTGCTTTTCACAAAATGATATATGTAAAGTGCTTATCACACCTTCTATTTTATTATAGATCATTGAAGAGTTGCTGTCATTAGTAGTAGTAGTTAATGGCTACTGAATGGTCATCATGGACTATGCCATGTTATAAGTGTTTCATTGCTTCGATAGTTAGAGACTCTTTTTATCCCATTTCACAAGTAGTAAAACTGAAACTCAGGGATAATTCACTTACCCAGAATTAGACATGTAGATAGTAGAAAAACAGGTTTAAAATAAGATCTGTTTAATTCCGAAGCTTGTGATCCTTCTTTTATACCACTCTAATCCCCCCTACTCCCAGACCTGCAATCACATTTTATGAAATGGAAAGAGAAAAGACAGAGAACATAATAAAGTAGCCCTGACTCAGGGCTCTCAGTTGGCAGCCTTTGGAGTCAGGGATTGTTATTAAGAAGACACAAATGCAGCCTGTCCTTGATGAACTTATTCAAGAGTTCAGCGAGGAAAGACAACATATTACATTAACACTAATAAAAATGAAACGCTTCTCTGACTTGATGCTAAATACGTTTGGCTTTCTCCTAAGCCTGCAAGGGCTCTGCTGTATGTGTTGATGTAAGCTGCAGAAAATTCAGAGCCCATCACAGGCTAGGAGCGGGAGGGAAGGGCTGGGTTGGCACTGGGCAGGAAGTCTGAATCCCCAGGTGCAAACGAACCTACGAATGTGCCAGACACCTCACCCACCCTTGTAAGAGCCTTGCTGAGCAGCCAAATCAGGTTCAAATCCCAGTCCTACAATTTGCTGCCTGTGCAGCCTGGGACAGGTCCATTACTCTCTGAGAGTCTCCTCTTAGGCATAGAGAGTATTTAACATCAGATGGCTGTTATGATGCTCATGCAGATAAATTCTTGAAGTGGCAGGCACTTTTCAGAGCACTGTGCATTGATGACTTCTTGAATCTCCATAGAAGTCTAATGCAGTAAACTGATAGTAACTCCATCTGATGGGGGGGTGGGGGCAGGGAACTTAGGTACAGAGAGGTTTAGCAGTTTGCCCAGGGCTCTCCAGCTGGGGAACCTGGGTGGTCTGAGTCTACACCACATCACCTGCTTGTTGCTCAGACTCTGGCCCACACTAAACACTGAATATATGCCAGCTGTACTGCTAACACTTTCATCTCACAGGGGAAACAGGGATGCACTGAAGTGATGTGATTTACCTGACATCACACAACTTGTCTGGGGCGGGGCCAGGGCAGGGCCAGGAACCAAACCCAGGTTGATTTCAAAGCCTGCGCTGTCTCCATGTCCCTCAGATTACAGAGGGTCTGCTCTGAGTTGGGGACTGTGCACCCCTACCCTCTCTTCAGCCCCATAACATGTAAGAATTATTGAGCCTCATTTCAAAGATGAAGAAACAGAGGCTCAGAGAGGTTAAATTACTTGCCCAATGTCACACAGCTTGGAGGCAAAACAGACTCCAACCCAGCTCTGTCTAAGTTCAAAGCTCTTATTCTTAACCACTGAGCTATAGAGTCTCTTCTTAAGAATATACAATCCCTGGCTCCTTTCATTCGCTTAGTCATTCATTCATCCCTGTTTGTCACCCACTTATAATGATTCAAGCCCAGTTTTCCTTCTGAGGTTTATTCTCAGTCCTGGCGTGGGGGAGGGGGAGATAAGTAAGTAAGAAGATAAATTGTATTTTCAAAATATCTTCTTTTCCTAATGAGCAAAGTCATATATGTGTGCACAGCATAGAAAAAATAGAGTGACAGAAACAAGATGGTACACAATCCTACCATCCATCCACAGGCATGGCCATGCTACCGGCGTATCACCTGTCTGCCCTTCTCCTCTGTGTGGGATCTCCAGGGCATATATTTTGTATATAGTGTTTCCTGGTTTCTCCATTACTTCCCCGTTTTATTTTATTAACACGTCTTCTACACTGAGTCACAATTATATCTAATTTGAAAAAAGAGTAGTGGACAGTCCTGGGAAAGCCATTGAGAAGAGAGTTATGATGGGAGAAACTTCTGGAGTGCCCAGGGAGGGCCCCATCATCCCCTGCTGGCTTCCTGGGGAGCATCATGAGGCTCAGCCTGTAGGACCCCTAGCCTTGACCAGAGTGAATGGGGTGTCCCTCTGCCCCAGGGACACCTGCATATGGGCAGAAACGCTACCACCTGCACAAGGAAACCCAGACAGCACCAGTGGTCATCTTGAGGGACCCCTTCCAGGATGATGGGGAATCTCCACAGTAGAATAAGTATTTCCTGAGTTTCTAAACTGAGCCAGGATCTGTGTTTGGCTCAGTATATAGATCCACCTCACTTGATGGCACTCTTAACAATAGCCTTATATATGTTTTCTACAGTTGCTGCAACAAAGTTCCACAGACTAGAGGGCCTAAAGCACAGAGGCTTCCCCTGTCATGCTTCTGAAGGCTGGAATTCCAAAATCAAGGCATCAGTGGGGCCCCTCACTGTAGGAGGCTCTAAAGGGGAATCTGTTCAGTGCCTACCTCCTGATAATTAGTGTCACAGCAAACCTTGGCATTCCTGGGCTTGCAGCTGCCCTGCTCCTGTCTCTGCTTCCTTTTTTGCAAGGTGGCCTCTTGCACCTCTGTCTCAGCATGTGGCCATCCTCTGACAGAGCTACCAGTAATAATGAATGGATTGGGGCCCATTCTGCTCCAGTTTGGCCTCATGACCTAGTTACATGTACAGTGACTCTATTTCACCTAAGACAAAATTCTGAAATTCTGGAGCTTAGGACTTCAACATATCTTTTCTTGGGATAGGGGGAGGATGATTCAACTTATAATCCCCCTAGTCCAATTTTTTGTTTTCACTTCTCAGGTGGGAAAATCATGTTTCCTAGAGCTTGAATAAACCAGGCACGGTGGCATGGGCATTCTGGGAGACTGAGTCAGGAGGGGTACAAGGTTGAGCTCAGCCTGTGAAACTACCCTGTCTCAAAATAAAAAATAAAAAGAGGCTGGGAAGGAGCTCAGTGCGAAGGCCCTGGGTTCAATCTCCAGTACTAAAAAAAAAGAGAGAGAGAGAGAAGAGCTTGAGTCATATTTTGAGACCACTACAGTGCCATACTTAGGATTTGAACCCAGCTCTGGTGGCTTCCTCCAATACCAAAGGGATGCCTCTTGCTGTAAATCTAGTCACAAACAATAAGTCAGTGACATACAAATTAGTTTGTGTTAAGCTGCCTTTTTAACAAATGGCCTCTATCAGAGACAGCAAAATTTCACAAAAAGATTAATTGAGGCAAAAGGAAAAAGGAGAAAAACCCACACCACCAGGAAGGTGCTTTGTATGCTGGTTTCTGGGCTTTAGATAAATAGCTGAGCCTAGGCGACTTTGCTATTTCAGCAGTCTCTGGGTCGCCGTGGAGACGAGCTGATAGATTGTGTGAACTTGGCTATTAATCCGCCCTCGAGTGGCCTGTGGTTCTGTCCCTGCTTTACGTAGTTGACTTCTCACTGTCTTCAAGACATTCTGCGACCGCAGCAGGATTTGGAGATCAAGCCCCTAGGAAGGGCAGAAGAGGGTGGTAGTGGACTGGCCATACCCACACCGATGAGCTCAGCAAGATGCTAAAACTAGCACCGGGTTGCTGCTGCTGTGTGGGTTGCAGCCTGCACTAAAGGCCAGCAGGGAAGGGGTCACCAGGGCTTTCCTGGGACAAGTAGGAAACATGCTCAATATTTATATTCTGACTGCAGAGCTCAGCCCATTCATCAGGTTGTGATGTGTCAAATGCCCATGTTGCTCAAAGCATTAATGAAGGACTGTGTGTCATCCTATCCCTCCTGCTGACAGGTAAGGAAACTGAGAGTCACTTGTTCATTCACGTCTCTGGGCACCTGTTGTGTGGGACATCTCAGCCTGGTGGAGGGTAAGGATGGAAGTAGTACAGCATTTAAAATCCCAGGCACTGGGGAAGATAGACCTATGGCTAAATCCTGGCTCTTCTCCCAAGGGTCCCTGCAGGGTGAGTCTGTGGAAGGTGGAGACACTGCCTCCTGAGCCATGGCTTGGTATGGTACAGGGGAAGCAGTAGCTCTGGAACAGACAGTCCTCAGTGTGGATTTGATCTCAGACTCTCACTCCTGGGTGGACTCTGTTACTTCACTTGAGTCCCATATTGGTCAGTGCCTTCCTGGTGGCAAGGGATATAAAAACCAACTTGAGCTACCTTCAGCTAAAAAGGAGACTTTATGACATCTCCCCCAGCCCATCTCTGCTTGTCTTTGCCTTAGCTTGCTCTCCTACACAGAGTGATGTTGGTGCCAGGGATTGTGGCTGCTGGTAGCTCTGGGATTTTAGAATCCAGCATCATCACCCAGGAGATGCAGATGTCTTTCTCCTGCTTCAATCCTAAGAACCCAATGAATGGGTCATGTGCCCTTCCCTGGAGCAAGTGTTGTGGTGGGTGGAGTGATTGACCCTCCCTGCCAAAGTCAGTGTATCTTATGGTCAGGCAGGTAAGGTCTGCTGGTAGAAAAACAGGGAGAGGGGTACTTGGAGCAGAAGTAAGTACCTACCACAGTCCACCTCTTATGCCACAGAGACCATTCCAGTGTACCTACCTGCACGTAAGTGTGCTTATTCCCATAACTATATTATAAAAATCTTAACTTTTAGCATCATTGCTCCACAGGCAGCCAAATGCACCTACTCTCCTCCTAAGGTGAGACTGCCCAAAGTCGTGTTGCATCCAGCTACAGGCCCAGTGTGACGGGGGCAGGAGCATCCCTTCTTACAGGTCTTACAGTAGCTCTTTATGATCTTCAAACCTGTGGGTTTGAAAGGAGAAAAACTTTCCAAGTGTGAAATGATTGGACAACAGACTTTGGCTTAAACTTGAAGTGAGATACTTGCAAGACCTCAGAACTTGGGAAAATTACATGGCTTCTCATGTCATTTAGAAAAGGGAACATAGAAGTAACGTGAGTAATTACCAATCCAAGCACACACCACAGACTCAAACTAAGATTCACTGTTAAGGCTGACAGTTGGAAGAGTCATGACAATCAGTTTCTTCATCTATAAAACGGGTTTATAAGAAGCTAGTGAAGACTAAAATTTTTTAATGGGGTAGGGCTGGGGGTGTGAGTCAGTGTCAGAGCACTTGCTTATCATGCACAGGACCCTGGGTTCAATCTGCAGTACTGCAAACAAAACAAAACAGGGACATGGCCCGTCCTAAAATAGATAGCACGTGGTAGATCCCCAATACACAATAGTTTTGTTCTCTCTTTCTCTCTCATGCAATGTGTTGATTTGATGACAAATATCTCAGGTTGGCAAAATAAACCAGCCTCTCTCCCCTCTGTCTTTTCCTCCCTTCTCCACTCTCCCTCCCTCTATTTTTCCCTCTCTCCCATGCCTTTCTCCTCCAGCCCCTCCCACCATGCACCTTGGGCTCTTTGTCCTCTAGTGAGCGCCTGAGCTAATGTGAGTGTGAAGCCCTCCCTGACATGCCTGTGAAGCTCTCTCTCCCAGCTCAGCTTGGGTGGACCAGCACCCACCCGAATCAAGGGCTGGGATCTGGGCTAGTTGAGGCATGTGTCGTAGAGCAAGCACAAAGCTAATTCACAGCCCACCAGCCCCAGAGCTGTCACTGTCTGATGAGCCTGCTCCAGGGGTGCAAAGTTCCCTGTAAAGATGGACAGTTCTCAGTGAAGGAAATCACTGCCATCTTTTGAAAGAAACCTAAGGTAGCCAGGTCAAGACCAGTCTCCAGCAGGGCGGATGACCCCCATACGTAGCAGGGCAGTGCCAAGGGGCACAATGTTTCAGCCATGAGGTTGCCTCCTCTGCAGGATCCTGCTCCCTACGAAAGGAAATGGGCAGCAGCAGGTGACTGGCAGCGTGTAGTATTTTCCTCAGTCATTCTCTATGAGGTCCATTTGAATCTAAGGGCTGGCTGGATCCACAACCAACCCCCCATTACTTCTAGTGGAGTAGTGGGAAGAGCTGGATGAGGGTCCTACAAACCTGAATTAAAGTGTGCTCACCCACCAATGAGCTGCATGTCTCAGGCAGGCCACTCCACCTTTCTGGCCCTCTAAGTAAAGAACATGAAGGTGCCAGTGTTCCTGCTTCACATGGCGCTTTACAAACGTCTCCTGGTTCAAGAAACAAGCTGTTTAGAACATGCCCTCTGGACCCAGATTGCTTGGGTCCAGTTCTACCTTCCCGTGTAAAGCTGTGACCCTTGTGCAAGGGACTTAACCCCTCTGGGTCTTAGTTTCTCCTTCTGGACAGAAGGGGAGTAATATTCTCATAGGGTCATTATGACGATTCCATGAGCCATTGTGTATAAAGTACTTGCTAAAGTGTATAACCAGATAATAATAAGGGTTTAAAGAATAAATGGGAAAAGACTTTACACAAACTGTAAGGTGTTATCTTGTGTATTTACCAGGAAGTACTTTAAGAAAACTAAGTGTATGGTTTGTGACTGGATTTGTATTTGAAACCCATTGGCTTGGGTTCCTGGGTACTCACTTGTCACAAGAAAACCCCTAGTGGTTGGGTGGAGCCCTGTCCACAGAAGGGTGGGCCACAGACTCTGTAGACTGACCAGGAGTGGGAAGGACCCTCCTGTGGACAGGGCTCCACCTTGCCAATGCCCATAACCTTCGGTCTCCCATTCTTCCCAGAGGCAGAAATTGGTACCGGAAGCTCAACAAGGCCACTGGCCAACAGCCAGAGCACACAGAGGCTTCCTCCTGTAACCCTGTCAGCTTTGTCCCCAGCCACATCTGACTTTTCTCCTTTCCCCAAAGCCAAGTACATCGGCTGCTACCTGGATGACACCCAGAGTCGGGCCCTGAGAGGTGTATCCTTTTTTGACTACAAAAAGATGACCATCTTCCGTTGCCAGGACAACTGTGCAGAAAGGTAGGGCCCTGATACCCCCTGACTGGTCCATCCAACCCCTTCCTCCTCAGGGTCCTACCACGATGTTCTCCGTCTTGCTGTGGGGGGCTGTGTCAGAGGATGACCCCTGACCATGAGGAAATGGTGATGCAAGGGTGTGTGTGTGTGTGTGTGTAAATTTACTTACATTTGCTTGAGCAAGATTGTTCAAGAATTGGTCGGTGGGAGTTTGTGATAGTGCAACTATGTGAAATTTGTGTGTGTGTATGCACACGCGGGCCTGGGAGTGAGTTTGTGGTATACAGTGTGTAGGACAGCTGGTTATGTTTGTGAGCCTAACACCAATCCTTGATGATCTTTCAGTAATTGTGGTGGTGTGCGGAGGAGTCTTTGTGAATATGTGTGTGAGGTTCCAGAATTGTGCTTGTACGTGCAGGTAGCTGATTGCATTGCTGAATGTGCAGCACTGCACTGACAATGTGCAGAGTTATCAGCAACTGCACACAACTTGCAAAGGCATGATCGAGTGTGCATGTGTCTCCTGGGCAAGTGTAAACATGAGACTTGTGGGACGTCTGTGTGGAGGAAGAAACAGGGGCTTGGGTGTAGCGAATATCTCATGGTCTCTGAGCACAGAGAGCCCTTGATTTTCTCCCAAAGAGAAACACTCTCTTATACAGACAGGGTTTCCAGTCTAAGAGGATATGGTTTTGAATAGAACATGCTCTGGTGCAGGTGGGATGGAGTTGACTTCTCAAGAGTGGATGAGTCCCCAAAGGGTTGGTGATCAGGGTCCCTGGGGTGCTGTGGGGCTGAGCTGACCTCCTCTATTTACCTCCGGGGTCCTTTGACCTATGGCAGCTCTTGAAGAGGCTTCTGATTGCAGACTCCAGCCAGCTGGCTCTGGTGGTCGCAAGCTCTGCTGACCTCAGCTGCATGGCTGGTGTGGAAATGGGCAAGCGAGTGGCCACTGAGGAACGTTTCCTCCTGTCTCTGATTAGGAAACACTCACTGATCAGCTGCCTGAGGAGCCCACCACTGAGGTCCTGAGCCCAGGACCCTCTCCAACTAGGGAAGGACCACAAGTCCTTGATGATGTGGATTTATTAATTAATTTGCCAAATCATGGGGAGACAGAGATGGATTCCACACAGCCCCTCTCCTCATGGAGCTTACAACCTGAAAGGGAAGACAGACAAGTGATCAGAAAGGACCATAGGGGAGAGAAGAGTGGATACAAGATTCTCACAGAGATGGTAATGCAGAAGAGGTCTCACCTGTTGAGTGCTGGAAAGGACTTCTCAGAAGTGGTAGCAATGAAGTGTTGGAAGCAGGGCACGGGGACACATACTTGTAATCCAGCACTCCTGGAGGCTGAGACAGGAGGATAGCAAGTTCAAGCCAGCCTGGGCAACTTAGCAAGACCCTGCCTCAAAATTTAAAAAGAAAAGAAAAAACGGGGGGCTGGGAATGTAGCTCAGTGCAAAGGCCCTAAATTCAATTCCTTGTGCTGGAAAAAAGAAGAAGGAAGGAAGAAAGGGTTGGAGCTACTCAAGCAGTTCCACTCAGTTCAGCAAGTACTGATTGGCTGTCCAAGTATCCTGGAGATGAAGGGGTGAGGGAGCCGCAGCCCTGCCCTCGGGTATGAGCAGGCTTGGGCCAGAGAACAGTAACAGCTTACACTTTGGCAGCACTTGCTGTGTGTGAGCTCTGTTCTAAGCACTCTGCAAATATCAAGTCTTTAATCTCACAAGGCCCCTATGAGGCAGGAATAGTATAAACCACACTCCACAGCTGAGGAAACTGGGGCATGGAGACATTTGGCTCGATGGGTGCACTGAGCAGAAAATGCGATACAGAAGCAGGGGAGTCAAGAAGGTGGAAGAAATACAGGGCTCCCCATGGAGGGTTCAGGACAAATTACAAAAGTGAGGCTGAGCTGGGTTTTGAAGAATGAATAGGAGTTTTATAGGTAGTCACAGCAGGATGTGTGGAAGGAAACATCGCATCTTGAAGCAGGAATCAGAATGGGGGGTGCCTAGGCCTGCTCCTTTTATTTTTTGGATACCCGGGATCAAATTCTGGTACCTTCCATTTTTGAGGCAGGTGGCAGAACCACTGAGCTAAATCCTTGGCCCCTCGGCCTGCTCCTTTTATAACAGTCCTCTCACAGGAAGCACCAAGGGTTGCATGGGCAGTACCGTAATCTCTTTCACTGTCTTGCCTCCCAGTGACCCAAGGGCTTTCTACTAGGCTCACCTCTTAAAGGTTTCACACTACCCTGAGACCCAGCTTTTAACATGTGGGCCCTTGGGGAACACTCAAAGCCTATCCAAACCATAGCACCTCAGTAAGTACAAACCATCTGTGTTAGTCAGTTTTCCATAACTATAATAAAATACCCAAGGCTCATAGACACCAAAGGTTTATTTGGCTCACAGGTTCAGAGTTTCCACAATGGATTTTCCCCATTGTTTGGGCCCATGGTGAGGCAGTGCATCATGGTGGGAGCATGTGGTAGAGCAAAATTTCTTACCTGTGGGCCAAGGAACAAGAGAAAAAGAGAAAGGGGCTAGGGTCCCCCAGGCCCTTCAATCTCACACTCCCCCAGTTGCCTAAGGATGGCCCTGCAGCTTCCACCTTTTTTTTTTTTTTCTTTTGAGACAGGGTCTTGCTATGTAGTTCAGGCTGGCCTTGAACTCACTGTGTACCCCAGGCTGTCCCCAAACTCACAGCAATCCTCCTGCCTCAGCCTCCCGAGTTGTGGGATAACAGGCATGCACCACCACACCCATCTGGTCCCACCTTTTAAAGGTTCTACCACTTCTAGGTAGCAACACTCTGAGGACCAAGCTCCAAGACTCCAGTATGAGCCTTTGAGAGACACTCAAGATACAAACTACAGCACCTTTCTTCTATCTTCTATTCATCAGCAGTCACTAAGTTCAGCCCAATCTCAAAGCAGAGGAGTGATGTAAATTCCACTCCTTCCAGGAAGGGGTGCCCACGATTTGGTGAACACATTTTGGAAGCACCGTCCTCCTGATCCACGACATCTTCCAGCCTGCTTGCTCTTTCCCTGGCCCAGAAACTGTCAAACCCTGTCCTGCATGGGTTTCCCTGCCTCTGCTCTCCACCTCCGAGAACCAGGGGTGAAAGAGAAAGAGAGACTGCGGCAGGCAGGTGGAGGAGCCTGGCTGAGCCCCAGGATTTTGCTGGGAGTCAGATACCAAGATGCTCAGATCGCCTGTGCTTCCCTGGCTGCATGTTCCTGGGGGAGCAGGTAGGTAGGTAGAACAATGTCACCTGCCACCCCACGGCATGTAGAGGCTGAGTCAGCCCCTCCAGCCAGCACACTGCCATCCAGAGTGAGATGCAAGCTGACAGTCCCCACTGGGGGCTTCATGGGACCTGTGGTTTGCAGGCTGCTCCCTGAAGAGTCCTCTGGAGAATGTCCCAGAGGCTGCGCTGGATGAAAGAACCCTGCGGGGTTTGCCTTATCCTCTCTCTCCATCCTCACCCAGTGCCTGAGCAAGCAGAGCTCTCCATTTGTTTACAGACCGAGTATCTACTGAGAGCCTTTTTAGGAAATGATTCCATGACTATGAAAAAAATAGCTGATAACCTTACAGTCCTGGATTTTTGTGTTTTAGAGGAAGGAATTTCTTACTTGGCTGCCTAGGTGAGCTCAGCCGGCCATCCCCCACAGGGCCAGGAGAGTTCCTCCCTCCTCCCCTTCTCCAAGGACCTGGAGGCATCATTCCTGGGTGATGTTTCCTGGAATAAAGAGGCTGGGCCTTGTCTCATGTCTCCTATAGGGAGCAGCCGAGGGGCCAGTGGGATGGGGGTCCACGGGATCTGGTGTGTGTGTGTGTGCGTGTGTGTGCGTGCGCGCGTGTGTGCTGGGTGTTGGGGCATGTGCGGGCGGGTACGAATGTGGCCGTGGTGTGCCCCTGTGGGTCGGCTGTAGGGTGTGTGACCCCTCAGGCAGAGGTGAGGGCAGGTGGCTGGTCCCTGGGGTGTTCTGCTCCCCCCGGGTCTCCCTGTCTCCACCCAGGGCCGGTCTCTTGGCCTGCCGCCCCCGTCTGTGGTCTCTGCTCAGCGCGTCTCCCCATCCCCTTGGGCTCCAAGCCGGCACCTGCCCTGCCTGACAGCGGCCTCCCCCAGGGGTTACCTGTACGCCGGGCTGGAGTTCGGTGCGGAGTGCTACTGCGGCCACAAGATCCAGGCGTCCAACGCGAGCGAGGCGGAGTGCGACATGGAGTGCAAGGGCGAGCGTGGCGGTGTGTGCGGCGGGGCCAGGCGCCTGTCCGTTTACCGGCTGCAGCTGGCCCAGGAGGCGGCCCGCAGGTGTACGTGAGTTGGCCCTGGCCCCACCGCAGTGGCTCTCAGCCCCAGTCTCTGCCCTGCGCCTTCCCTGGCTTCTGTCCCTCCAAGGCCCCACTGTCCCTCTCCAGCCTTGTCCCCAAGGCCAACCTCGGCCCCAGCAACTTCCACGCCCACTGCCCTGTTCCCTCTTGCCTCCTACACCAGCTGCACCCCACTTTCTCACCCATCTTCTGGCTTCTGAAGCTGGGTTGGAGCCTGAACTGTGCCTGTTCGTCCTACTTTTCCCAGAGCAGACGGTCTCTAATGACAAGGACAGTGATGACATTGGCAGCTATGACACTGACAGGACAACCCTGTCCTACGGACTAGCGTGTCTGATCTTCACAGTGGTCCTCAAAATGGGCACTAGTCTTTACTCGTTCCCATTTTACAGATGGGGAAAGTGAGTCTCAGGGACAACTCTTCAGGGCTTTGTTGGGCTTCTTGGTTTGAGCCTTATAAAAACTCTCTGGTTTCCATACTCAGGAAAGGAGGAGGTGGAAGGAGAGGACAGGGATCATTGTCCCGTCATTGTCCCCTTCCTGAAGTGGGGGAGGCTTGGGGTACAGCTCAGTGGCAGAGCAGTAGCCTAGTATGCAAGAAGCCCTGGGTTCCTCCTCCAGCACAGGATAGATAGATAGATAGATCCAACAGCTCCGAGAGGAGACGGGTGTTTAATAACAGCTTGTGACAGACAGTCCGTCAAGACTCTGCTGTATGCCATATATTGTATGAAGCCAAGCACATGCCCAATTTCACTTACATTCCCTACTCCTTTTCAGGTAATTGCCATTGTTAGTCATCCCCATTTACAATGAGGAGACTGAGGGTTAATAAATTTAAGTCAATTTGCCAAAGGTCACACAGTCTAATTTTGTGCACTGACAATCCCCGTGCTGGCTTTATATTACCATCTTCAGAGGGGGATTTCTTGGTTGTCACCCAGTGTGATTCCAGGTGACTTTCTGACCTATGAGAAGAACCAGTGAGCTGGTAAGGGCTGGAGACCTGGGCTTTCTGGAGATCACCCCACCTTCAACCACTGCGGTCAGTGGGAGGCAATAACAGACATCAGAATACTTCTCTAACCCTCTGGCCAGTGATTCTCCAATTTGTGTGTGCCTGGCATTCCCCAGAGGAGTCTTGCTTGAGTGTAGTCTGGCTCAACAAGTCCATGAGAGTCTGCATTTCTAAAGAGTTCCCAGATGATTCCAGCTGCTGACCCATGGACCCTACTTTGAATAATGAGACTAAATCCCTATGTTCTCTTGCCTAGAATATAGTTCTGTCCACATAGGTCAATTTGCAGAAAGTTAACACCTGTTTGCGGAGCAAGGGTTCTTCTGTGTGAATTTCATTATTTATAAAAATTCATTGCTTGATACTATATGCAATGTTTTCAATCCCACATTTCTGAAGCCCTATCTAAACTTTGCTCTGCAGTAAATAGAGTGGAGTATGCAATTAATTTGCAAGCTTGCCAGTTTCTAAAAACAGAAGTACCATCTACCTCCCCCATGGTCACCTCAGTTCAGGTCTTAAGGCCTGGCTGGCTGAGGGCAGAGGCAGTGTGTGAATCCAGGCTGGAGAGTGTCCACACAGTGGGTTTCTGGTTCAGCTATTAGTGTAATGAGTTTTTAACTTGATGCCAGATTTATCATCCTCACAACCAATCCCCTTTGTGCCAATATTCAAGTTATTTTAAGGGTGACTCTTTGACCTTCTGAAAAGATGGCCTCAAAGTCAGAGGGGTTCAGAGGGAAAGCTGCTGCTGCTGCTAAAATATGCTGTAGATGAGGCAGAGACAGATAACCACGTTTGGGTTGTATATGTCATCAGCCAGACATCCCTTTGGTTAATGTTCAGATGGGTGGAAAAAATAGGCCTTCTCTCTCTCTCTCTCTCTCTCTCTCTCTCTCTCTCTCTCTCTCTCTCTCTCCCTCTCTCTCCCCTAGACATGCACACAATTGTGACCACCAATATAAGTATAATGGTACTTTCATGGACCATCAGATACTGTTCAATTAGCTCAAATATATAAGCCTCAACACATACATGGAAATCTCTTTCAATAGGTGGGTTTTGCCTGTGCTGCAATGGGATGGCTGGGTGGCTGCTGGGAGCCAGCAGAGATGCTGCTGGTAGAACTGCCCTGGATGGGGTTTTACACCATCTGAGAAAAACATTTGTGTATTATGTCCAAGAAGACACTCTTTTCTCCTAGGAATGGAGTCCTAGTTTCTGTTAGATCACCGCAGTGGCTCTGATTTGTTATTGAACTAGGGTTGAAGCCTGGGCACGTGCAGCTAGATGCTAAAGGAAAATCTAAGCCATATGAACCTTGAGGCCACCATGGCTGAGATTAGAGTGGAAGCAGCATGGGTGAGAAGGCAGATGCTGGGCGATACGTCCAATTGGGACTCCTGGGAGCTTTTACTGGGCCAGGACACTTGTGGACTAGGTATGGAGAGGCTCAGTGGGGAGTAAAGCATAGCTCCTGTCCTCAAGGAAGTCACCATCTGGTGAACAACAGACCCAATATGGAAGAGGTCAACCACGGAAGATAGAAACAGAGAACTGTACAGGCTCTGTCTGCAGAAGCCAAAGAGAAGCATTTGAGCTGAATCTTATTCTAAAGAGATTTCATATGAATAGGAAAGCCGTGTATTCCAACCATGGGCAAAAATCCAGAGATAGCCAAGGTGATGGGCTGAATGCTATGTTGGAACACCTTCCTGATTGGTGTCTCCATTTCACACATGCAGAAACTGAGGCACAGAGAGCAGAAGTGGCTAATTCGAACAACCCCAGGGGAAGGCTTATAGAGGAGGAAACATTTGATGAAGACTTTGAAAGATACATAAGATCTTATGGTGGAGAAGGGAGGATATCCAGACCCAAGACAAGTCACCAGGGAATGGGAGAGAAATATGGGCAATGGGGTTGAGTATGCAGCAATCTCTATGTAATTCAGGAAATGATTGTCAGGCATGACTTCCAGTGCCTTGGTGCCTCTTCTGGACTGAGCCTGGGCTGGGACCCAGATTTCTGACTCCCATCCTGGGTGCCCACTCACTACAGCATTGTAAATACCCAACTCCTTGATTTGGATTCAGAACTCCATCTCTTCTGTTTTTCGGGGGTGCCTTAGTTCCAACTTAAGTCCTTTTTCCCTGACCCATCTCTCCTTTTGCTTTGTTTCCTGACTCTGAACAATACAAAATCTTTAATGCCTTTTCTCTGCCTCAGTGGCACCCTTGACCCTCATGCACAGAAGGATACCTTCCAAGTCACTTGTACATGTCCCTAGTATGTGCTACATCAGGCAGAGAAATGAGTAAACACGCCAAGAAACAGATAGGGTGGAAATCAGATCCCATTTGTAGAGTTATTAGTTGGTATTAACTCTGTCTCCTAATGGTATTTCCCTGTGCAGTGGTACAGAACTCGTTCTGATTGGCAAGAACCAAAGGAGGCTTATTATCTCCCAAGCACTACACTGATTTGGGCATCTGCTTGGTGCAGGGAGCCAGCTGACGTGTTTCAGAGGTGACAGGTTGCTTCTACAGTAGCAAAAGCATTACAAGGTCGGCAGAGTAAATATCTAGAGGCACCCTGCTATTCTGCCTTGACACAGACTCTGGGGCATGTGGACTCTGTGCTCTTGTTACAAAAGAACCAAGAAATGGACTTCCTCCCTAGTTGGGTTTTATTTTTCAAGCCAGTTTGCTAACTGTGTCAGCAAGTAGAGTTCTCCTCCCAGAGGAGACTTCATAGGCTGTTGCAAGGAATTCCATTTGCCTAAAAGGGTCTTGCAAGATTTGGGCTACAAGGTTCATTAGAAATATGCAGACGCTGGGGATTTAGCTCACTGGTTCTGGCGCCTGCCTTGTAAGAGCAAGGTCCAGGGTTCGATTCCCGGTACTAAAAAAAAACAAAACAAAACACTAATTTGCAGAGAACTACATTGGTCTGGTGAGTGGGTGGCTGTCCGTGGTGCTGACCGCCTGTTACTGAAGCTGAAACCCTGCTGCTGTACAACAGCCTCTCCCAAGGCTCAGAACGTTTTTCCTCTTGCTATTTGTCAACATTCACCGTGATGAAGGTATTCACGGCTTACACTATCACTGAAAAACAGACACTCGACTTGTGCTTCACCACGTACATGGTGGGTTTTGTGTACTTGAAAGTTAGAATTTTGTGCGATGCTTTTATTTTATTCTCTCCAGTGCTCCATTCCAACTACTTCTGCTGAGGGGAGCCTCAGCTAGTCCAGAAAAGTCACATTGCCTTGCATGGAGCATGTCTTTTTCTTCCTTTCCCAGCCCTCTACTTCCTTTCAGTATGTGTCTGGGACTCCTGAATTTTATAATTCATAGGTTCTTCTGTGTAGGGAGAAGATGATAGAAAAATTTTCTCCCATATCATAATGGGGAGGAATTGATTTGCTTTTCTTTCTTCAGCTAAATCCAGGAAGGCAGGAAAACACTGAGGGCAATGTGGGTTTTGGAATCCGACAGACCCGGTCCTACTCCAGATCTCTCACTCGCTCACTGTGTTGGCTCTGGCCAAGTCCCTGACTCTCTCTGAACCTCACCAGCCTCATCTGTAAAATGGGGGCAATTCCAACTTTTCACAACGGTCGGGGTCACCAAGTTGGATACGTCTAAAAAGCACCGGGTATGGTGCCTGTTGTAGAGAAATGTCACTTTTCTCCAATGAAAACTCTCCAGTTTACCCTGAGAAACACCCAATTTGAGATATTTGACTTTCCAGAAGCCGTCGGGATCTTTTGGTGATGTTTAAAAATAGCCAGCTCAAATTCTCCCTGGACATTGAGCCTCTTTGTGCAATTCATTCTCTCTCCAAGTATAGGTTGCTGGCTACCCATGAGCTGCTTCCAGCTCACTGCTGCTCTTCCTCACCCCCATCTTTAATGCAGTGGAGCTTGGCCCAATTACCCAGGGGGTAGTGGCCTCTTTCA